CAACGTATCCACTCAGACCAAGGGAGAGATTTCGAGACGTAAGCAACTCTCATCAAGAGACTCTTGAGTCTACTTAGGCATCCAAAAGTCGAGGAATAATTTCCATTACCCATCCTCAGGGGGGATCCTCAGCCAGAGAGAGATTCAATCGTTACCCTCCTGAAATGCTCGGGACTTTGACTTCAGTGCAAAAGCAACACTGGAGTAAGCATGTAGCAGCATGTACATGCCTACAATAAGCAACTGCCTACGACGCTACAGGGATTACTCTCCTTTGTTACCGGCTGATGTTTCGGCCGGGAAGCTCGACTGCCAGTAGACTTGGGCTTTTGGAACCTTGTAGGACCATACCTCTGCAGCTTCCCATAGAGGATATGTGGACCGGCTTAAGGAAAAAGCATGAAGATTGCTTATGAGAAGGTCAAGCCACCTCAGATGCCCAGGGGGACAGAGAAACAAAGAGAACTTTGATCTCAGAGTGCGGAGTTACAGGACTTACAATTCGGGAGGACAGGTCTTACTGAGAAATCTGGGCATTCCCTGGAAAACACAAGGCTGGCGGATAGGTGGCGATCAGAGCCCTATGTCATCTGCATACAATTGGCCTGGATTCGCCAGGTTTACCAGATTCGACTCGGAAAAGGGTGTTGGCCCCACTCAAAAACCTGGCACCGCAACCTACCTTTTGCCTTTGTCAGATGCAGTCCGTTCAACCATCACAATCTGATCCACAGTGTCTACCCCTCAATCAGCTTCTCAGAGAACTAGACCTTCTGGTGACAGGTCTCAACCCAACAATCCACTCTGTAAATGAAGAGGACAGTGAGAGTGAGGAGGTTCAGGGACAGATTTGCTGTGGCCCATCTGACATTTCCGAACCCTACCACTCCTTGTTCCACTGGTAATGTGGACGTGACGTTTAGTTCCTCTTAGGCCAGAGGACTCCTGAATTTTGTACCTCAGGCTCACAATACAGTTGATAGATTTTGCAGAGCCTGAGCCTTCTCTACCCGAGTACCTGAAGACTCTGGGTCCATTGTTGCTGAGGGAGTGAAGGACGTGGAGGAAGCTGAGGACTGGGAGAGACAGAGTGCGTCGTTCGGCAAGAAGGATAGGGTTGATGAGTCAGTAGTGTCAGAACCAACATCGGAAGCAATGCCAGAACCATTGCTAGAGCCCAGAGAACAGAGAGTGAGCGTTTTTGAGTTATTCAAACTCCAAAAGACTGACATATGATGTGTTGGGTTAATGAAAACTCTGAGGATAGTACATGCTTTTCTAGAAGGAATCTCGTGACGCCTGGTTCTCCGACAAGCAGTTTCGGTAGAGAACTGCCCCAACTCACCCCCTGGCACATCTGGCTGGGCCATTCCATTAAGGTGGCTTGTAGGCGGGACAACCTCCCATCCTATGTTAAAACTGGTGGGGTAGGTTCCTCTGCCAAGATTTTATGAGATGATAAATTGTTTGGTTTCCTGTGTGTACTAATTTGTTTTCTCCGGCGTGGTATATATCAAGCATGTACCAGGTCAAGGAATTGGTTAACCTGCCCCTTTGGAGGACCCAAGGTTCTTTGGTGGGGGGAGTGTGTAGCAGGAGATATAATCCTGTCTCATGGCTGTGATCTGCTGACTGGCCTCTCCTGTGTAACCTGACACTTGCCCTGACACAGACAAACAAAGCCAGTGAGGGATTTCAGCCCCCCCTTCTCCTCTCTGACTGTAAGAGAGAGAGAGCCTAATTATGAGAGCCATTAAAGGAGCCAAATGACAAGGACTTTTTCAAGCAGGAAGTGCAGCTGCAAAGCATTGTGGACGATGGAGTTTTGAACAGAAATGGCCTTATAGGCTAATATGGAGAGATAGAATTAAAAAAGAAACCACGAAAGCCATCATGCTTAGGGAGAGCAGAGGGAAGGGGGCCATCTTGGGTTTCTCTCCTGAGGGAGAGGGAGATTGCATGTGGCAGGAGAGAGATTGGACCTGGCAAAGAAGTGCTGATGGGCAGTGCACTGCATGCTTGGTGATCTGCATCAGACAAAGGAACATCCAAACTGAGAGAAGTGGTCTACAGTACAGTGCCTACACTGACAGTGTGAAAGTACTCATCGTGAGGTGGACCAAGGAACCTGTCATTTCCAGGACGATCGTTTGGGCCTTTGTCACAGGATCTGGTGAGAGGGATTTCTCCCACTGTCAGATGACAGGAACACTGCACACCATACAGAGACATCATACCTTCGCTCATATTCACCAGGCACTGGGTTGTGTAGATGGCCCTGCTGAACAGACAACCATGTTCACTTTGCTATACAAATACTGCCACAGGATTACAATTACACTTTAAGTGTTTAAGGAGTTTAAGTGCACCAACGAAAGTGGCTAGCTGAAGATCCCAACATTCATCCAGTTACAAAGAGACTGAAGCTACTGGTGCCATACGAGCACGCGCATGCGTAGTCAGGCCTCTATATTGCATGGTGTTGTGTGAAGGAATAGCTTTACCTTGAAAGTAGCTATTAAGCATCAGTTGGGTACAGTGTTTTCCTATTGAGGTCATGGTGTCGGGGGGGGTTAGAAGGGAGAAGTCTGACACAACAGAGAGTCATTCTTCTGCTCTCCTCCTGCTTGGACATCATGGGGCCAAATTTATGAAGAGGAGTTAAATCCACTTTGAGGTTGCCATTTAAGTGTTTGCCTCTGCTCTTGGGGTTATTCATGGTTGGAATCCCCTGAAAGCAGCCCGAGTGTAAAAGTGAGTTATATTGCTTTCCGTCACAGTGTTTGTTGTTCTCTTGATTCTCCTAACAACATATACCTGTTGTTAATGTTTATTACTTCCCATAGAGGTCTACAGTAAAGCTGATCTCTGTGTTTTATTATAAAGTGTGTGCTTTTTCATTGGTCCTTGCACTTACACTATTGCCAGGTGTGCCAGTTGGGGCTGAGACAGTTCTTGGGGTTGAGAGGCAGAGTGGCGGAGTGAACAAACTTAAGCAGCCCCTTCGGGGGTATCGCTACACACTCTTCATGGGACAGGAGCCAGCACTACAGAGGAGGCATCAGCTTATGCGGCTCTTGCTCCCTACTACAGCTCTAACTTTAGTCCCTCTACATTGTACTCTGTTTGATGCTCTGGGATGGCAGGTCAGCAATGCCAGAACACAATCTACCAGTCATCTGACCCCCACTCTAAATGGAACACATCATTTCTCATGTAGGTCACCCAAAAGGAGAGAGGCGAAGTATGTCTTCATTTGGTTCTACCAGAAAAAAATGTTTTCTAGCGTTTTCTAGAGCCATCCTGTGGCCTGTCACTGATTGATGAAATGTGTGACAGGAGACCCTTGCATGCTGCCCACTACAATCCCATTTTTAGAAAATTTTTCTAAAAGGGCACCCCTTATGACTAAGTAGATGATGAAATGCGTCAAGGGAGAGTGACGTCAAGACGCATACCGGAACCGGAAGTCGACTGGTGGCCATTTTGGATAAGGGAGAAGGACGTGTAAGCGTATTGGGACGCTCCCTGGATGGCTGTGAGACTCCTTCTTTTGCACTATAAGCGGTTTTGAATTTTATATCATGTGAGCAGTTGGGAATAAATATTTAAACTATAAATCCGTTTGGCGGTATTATACTATGTTGTCCTATATCTTTTTTTGGAGACATTGAGAGCAGAGGTCTGAGGAGCCCAGAGAGTGTCGCAGCAACAGGATATTTATGAGGCTTAGTCTGTGCAGCCCGTGGAATGTGATAGGCATACTTTATATGGATGGTTGGTAAGGGTACCCTTACATTAAAATAGAAGTGTACACCTGTTGGAATTGTTTTTTTGGTGTGGCACTAAAGAGTGGTATACACATTTTATTTTCACTGTGTGATCACGTTTTTTTTCACATTTTCTCACTGTTTTTTTCACGGATTCACTATATATGAAGTTGATTTATTTAAAAAGATAATGCACTATGTGTAATTTTCCTTTTTTTGAGGTGGATTCGGTGGAAGAAGGAAGAATTGGCTTGATTGATTTTTTTGAATTTGTTTTTTTTTTTTTTCTTCTTTTTTTGATTGATTTCTGTGGATTTTTTTGTGGATTTTTATTGACTATATATTTTTGGACTTTATATTTAAGTAGTGGACTATTAAGTTGAATATTGGGTAATATATTTAGGTATTGCACTCACGTGTTATATTTTATTTATTAATTTATTAATTTTTGGATTAATTATATAAAAACACATTTTCATTGATATAAAGTTCAACTTTAACAAGGTTAAATTGATACTAAACACACACTGTTTACTTCACATTGTCCCTTCTATTTCTGTATATGGATGACGGCACTGTAATTATTTTAATAAATAAAAAAACATTATTATACATCTCTCACATGACCCAACTCTTTCCCGGCCTGTCTGCAGGCAGGGAAACATAAGCAGAAGGAACTTCTAGTCCTCTGCTGCTGGTCACATGTTCAAAATACAAAAAAAAACAGCCTCTGGGATACAGAGTAAACATAAACAATATAAATAAACTGTTCTAAATTGGCATACAAATATATATTTGATATGAAATCATTGTTATTTTGTGGTGTGGGCGGGTTTCTGCCAATCACAGGCACCCCCAGCCTGTGTCTTAGAATCAGAGGGAAGTGAAGGTACTATCAATCTACATGTAATATCCAGCCCCTGGTTAGTGGGCATTAAGGAGGAGGGAGGGAATGGGCTGTCATTTACGACTGTGTATATGCCCACATGTGTGACTATAATCACATGGGCTGCTCAAATGTTATTGAGAGGAAGTGATCAGCATAGAAACTCACTGAAAACTGAGCATGTGCAGAGTTGCCACCACAGCTGCAAAATCCCTAGTTGAATTGGGGACATGAACAGAAGTGGAGATATAGGACTTATGTTTTTTGCAGAATACAAAAAAAAGGAATCTCACAGGGCTTAAAATTTCAAGCCCTCAGCTACTAGCCAGGCCTTAACGTTACTCGCCACCAACAAACACACACAAAACAGAGACACCTGTACACACACACACAGACATGTACATACACACAGAAACATGTACAAACACGCACAGAGACACATGTACACACACATACAAACACATGTATACACACACAGGCACGCATACACACAGATAAATGTACATACATAGAAATATCAAATCCACATCCCCCAGAGGAAGCTAGGAGTCCCTGTAGCGTAACGCGTAGGGGAGGGGCGGTGACGTTATCACGCATCCACAGAGGAACGGCGAGTATATTTACTGCAAGCAAACACATCAGCCAGGCTGTCTGAAGCACGATCTTGATACATTGTATGCAAAGCGTTATTTACATTTACACAATGTGAGTGGGAGATCAAAGAGCAATAAATCACTTATATCCCGGATAAGACACTATGTTTCTTTTCCCTCCTTCTCTGCATGTTCCGTATATGGAGGAATAAACAAAGCAGCCAGTGAAGAAAGCACAATTGAGAAAGCTGAGCTGAGGAGAGAGGAGAGGAGACGAGGGAGAGGTTCAAGCTGCCAACACAGACTTATCACATTAACTAAATTGAATAACAACACCATCTCAAATTTAAAGATAATAATTGACATTCCCTTTTTTTTTTTTTTTTTTTTTTTTTTATGTTTTATTAATTTTTTATTATTTTATTCACATAGAATTGACATTCCAATTTTTCATTAATTTTTTATTAATATTTGTTATAATCACATATAATTTTTTAATTCATATTTATAAATTAATTTATGTTAATTGTATATTTAAGCACCATAGAAGTAAGTAATGATTGGATTATAGGTGGTATATTAAGAAATTCACACAACCAAAAAAGGTTAATCACAAAAGGTTGATAATATTGGAGCGCGGTACAGTATAAGAATTCATAGTTTAATTTCATACACCTAGAGAGGGTGTAATTAGTGCCTGGCGATCCAATATTTAATAAATATTCACTTAAGCACACAATTAACACTAATAATAGAGTAAGTTAACTCCTGGTGGCTCACAAATAACTATTCTATTAAAATTACATAGAAATACACACGCACAGACACATGTACATACATACAGACACATGTACACACAGACACATGTACGTACATACAGTACACACAAACACACACACGTACATGCACACACACACAGACACATGTACACACACACATACATGTACATATACGCAGACACATGTACAGATACACACATGTACATACAGACAGACACATGTACAATTGTACATACATACACAGACACACACAAAACACACACACACCCCTATAAAAAGTTGCAGTACTTCGTTGTTCACTCACAGAGCTGGGTACTGCACTCTAGGGGGAGGCAGAGAACACAGCACACACTCCTTCCTTTGCATTCACTGCGCTCAGCTATTGAGCAGTCTGACGTCTCCCAGTGCCACTGACAGATCCGGCCTGAGCTCCAAGCCTGCTCAGCAAGATGGCCCTGGGGGACACACTCGCCCTCACCATAATTTCCACTCGCCATTGGTGAGCAGGCGAGTGGAAATTTCAAGCCCTGTCATAGTGACTGAGTGAGTATGAACAGCATATAATACAGCATATGCTGTTACACAGTTAATATTTATGTTAATGTACATGAGAATTCATATAGTTTATTTTTTGTACCATTTCCTATGGATATTTCTATAGTTAGTAATGCTGCCATCCAGTGGTCTTATTTGGTAATGCATTTGTTTTATATTGCCTCCCTGAGATCTATGACACAATGCAGGATTTGGGCAGCTGAAGCTGGCCTGGCTTCATTTCCTGGATTTTGTACAGCTGGCTACCCAGCATGCACCCGGGATCTCACGCATGAGCAGTAATGACACTTAGAGGCGTGCTTTGCGTACCCGTATTAAAAGACTCCTAGGATCGATGACATAGATATCCCAGGATTCAACAGTCAAGGCTGATGGCTCAATTGCCTAGGCGGCCCCAACCGGAAGTCGCAGGAAACATTACTAAAAAAGGTACTTTCTGCGGGAAATTTCTACATTTCAGTATCCATATCTTGATTCACTAGCAGTGTACATTACAATGTGGGTAATTCCTAAAAATGACTGGAACTCCGCTTTAAGGTGTGTGTTTGCATAGTCTTGCCACCACTCCACCTCCTGTTACAGCAATTGTGCAGGAAGTCTGTACATGACTGTGCAAGTGGGCCCAGAGTTAGACCCAATGCTCTCCCTCAGCAATAATAGTTTAGGTGAAGAACCTTGATGGACGTAGCTGTTACTCAGCATAGTGCACTGGAGTGTGAAGGCACAATGCAGCATATTCACTAACAGCAAATACGACAGAAGTATTTTCCAAGCAGAAATCTGTAAACATTATCTAAAAGATGGGGGTATATGGCTTTAAAAAGATAAAAAAGACTTCCATTAGGCTTTAAATTCTAGTTCTTACTGTGATCTTACACTAAGAAAACTTTGAGAGCAAGAAAAGTGGGCTTGGTCCATTTGTGGCTGCCTGAGAAATAGTCTAAACATAAAGCAGGTATAACTTAACTCCTTTGGGACTAACTGATCCTTCTTCAGGCAAGAATGCATGCGCAGTAGCCTTCTGCTATTTGATTGGATGTCAAGGAAAATTTCCAATACGCAATATGATACATTGTACTCCAATTAACCAATGTAAATCACCAGTGAAGATTTTACTGACTAAAACCCAAATGTTTTTTCATAAAATAATAATATGTTCTAAAAACAGCCATAATTTGGTGGTGAACTTGGTTGAACTTGGCAGAACAAACTTTTCTCTTGATATTACATTGCTCAGGAAAATCTGACAAAAAGACAGGAAGCAGGTTGTTATAACAATATGGAACTCAAAGCCAAAAATGTGTGTTCTTGAGGGGAGAAAAAAAAAGCAAATATGCCACTATGACTCCACCTTGAACCGAAAGACTATAGTTATGGACATAAACAGAAGATGTAGATCAGCACAATGTTGCTTTGAAATGCTACATCTACACAGCTGCTGTATAAAACAAGGATATTTTAGAAAGGCACTCTGTTGTATCACAGGTTATGTGCATATGCCTCACAAATTTTCCTATGTAGCAAATTGCTGGCGCAGGTTAGCATGGTAGTCAGTTTTCAGCAATTATTCCCTAATGTATTAATTAAAGTGGATTATGTTGCCTAGAGATCCGCAGATAAATCATGCTGCTGGCATATTTTATTTTCCAATGCAGCGAATCTGTCAAAATTAAAAGATATCTGAATAGTTGATAAGATACTAGATGCCAGAAACTTCATTTCACAGACATTTGCAACATGCTGGTCATCAATGCATCCTCAGGTGTTAGAAGAGTGTACATTTTGCAGGAAATAATATACAAAATTTAAAAGTATAGTTTTGCACTAGGATTTAATATGTTATTGTACATATCATGTTGTCTAGCACCTTTAAAGTAGAGATGAGACGATCTTATATGGTTCCCTAATATCATAATGAATGTTACAGATTAAAGGTGTGTACCCCAACATGCCTGATGGATCTTAAGTCATCCTCTTTAGAATGCCTGAAAATTTTTTATTGGATCTTGTTATGACAAGGGGCGGTCGGGTCAAATCGGGTTGTTTAATTTTACAGGTATAAAAAAGGGATGGTGGCATGGCAGTACTACATGAAGTAGTACTACGGGCAGCACAGTGGCTAAATGGTTAGCACTTCCACCTGGCAGTACTAGGGTCGTTGGTTTGTATCCCAGCCACGGCACCTCCTGCCTGGAGTTTGCACGTTCTCCCTGTGCCTGCGTGGGTTTCCTCCGGGTAATCCGGTTTCCTACCACATTCCAAAGACATGCTGGTCAGTTAATTGGATCCTGTCTAAATTGGCCCTTGTATATGAATGTGAGTTAGGGACCTTAGATTGTAAGCCCCTTGAGGGTTAGGGACTGATGTGACTGTACAATATATATGTAAAGGAGCTGCGTAAATTGACAGCGCTATATACGTATCTGAAATAAATAAAAATAAATAAATAAGTGGCAGTTGTGTCCTATTACTGATAGGTGGAACATAGTTTGCAGGCGAGTCCAGAGATTGTTAATCAGGACGGCAGACAACAGTGTTAGTGTGGGCATGGAACAGCGTGTGGTGATGACGATTATTGTGATTGAAGGCGCAAAACCCACGGATATCTACAGAAGACTTCAAGCACAGTACGGTGATGAGACGATCAGCAACAGTAAGACATTTGAGTGGTGTAAACATTTCAAAAATGGCTGTACATCAGTCAGTGATGGTCCCAGCTGTTGTGGTTCCCAGCCCACAGCAGTCATACCTGTGAACCTTCACACCAGGAATGAAAAACAAGCATCAAAGCAGTGAAAGCATGCAGACTCACCATCACCCAAAAAAATTTCAAACGGTTGCATCTGCAAGTGATGGCAAGTGTTTTCTGGGACAAACGTAGCATTATTCATGTGGATTTTCTACCCCGTGGTGCCACTATTAACAGTGACTATTACTGTCATATTCCGAATGATGTGCATACACGTCTGTGGAAAAAAAAGGCCTGGTTTGATCACTAAAGGCGTCCTGCTTCTCCAGGAAAACGCACAAGCTCATACTGCTCACTGCACTATGTGCACATTACAGTAACTTGGCCGGGAGATATTGCCACATCCCCCTTACAGCTTGGACCTTGCTCTGAGTGATTTCCACCTGTTTGGACCTCTAAAAAAGTTCCTCGGAGGTCACCATTTTCAGCACTGATGACAAAATAAAGCAGGCTGTCCTAGGATGGTTTAGGCATACTGACAAATCTTTCTATCCCGAAGCTTTCCAGCCATTAGTTAAGTGCTGGGATAAGTGTATAAATGCAGCAGGGGAGTATGTTGAAAAATAAATGCAGTTTTCAGTCCTTGAAATTTGTTTTTTTAGAAGATAAACTAAATATTGACTTGAACACCTCTCATATTTATGAAGAATTTGGAAATCACAACTTTATATCCTAATGAATCAAGAGAATATATGCATAGGGAATGCCTTAGAGTGAATGTATTGCCCAAAGCATCAAATCTGCACTGACGTCTCAAGATTTTATGGTCCACTTGACCTTAAAAATAGTTAAATTACTTGATGTGCACAGGCTAGCAAGCAGTGTACGAACCCCTCTTGCCTAAACCTGTTCACAAAAAGATCTGTACTCTATCAGGTTAGGCAGAGCATAGCTTATTTATGTGTAGCACCCTCCTAGTTTAGCTAGGGGGAACTAGACCCTGATGGTTATTTAGGAGCTGATTAGAGGCTCAGGTGAGATAGTCAAAAGGGTCAAATTTTGGTCAGGACTGAGAGACTCTGCAGGCCAGCACCTCTGGAATTTCCCTCTGTTCTGAGGCTTTCGGAGGAGGGCCTTAGAGGCAGTAGGTGGATCTGAGGAGTGGTTGGCTACACTTTTGAGGGACCTTGGCCAATCCCCAACAGAAGGCTCAGAAAGAAGTTGGACTCCCTTAAAAGTGTCGGAGCCTGCTCAGTAGCATGAGAGCTGGGTGGAAGAAGGAGAAAGGAAGGCTTTTGAGAGGTTGAGGTGGAAGGCTGCTAGGAAGCCTAGTGGGATTGGGCCTGCCTGCGAGCCTGGATTTGAAAAGGAGGAAAACTCAGGACTCACTGGCCCCTGAGAGAGGACCACCTATATGGCAGGGAATGAGCAGCCCAGCTGATAGGCCTGGCAGCAGCAGCCATCCCGCAGGTGGTACAGGAGAGGATCTGAGTGAGTACACCTTCACCCCATAGGAGAAGGAGCACTTTGGTGGGAAATCAGATTAGCCCTCTGCTAGTGACTGTACACCTTACTTAAAAGGAACAAAAGTAAGATCCCCTCCTCAGGAAGAAAGTATCCAGATTGCTGGGTGAAGAAGAGTCATCTAGGATCTGGGGTAGTACAACTGGATGCGCTAGCTAGCACTCCAACAGAGACTGTGTCAGAGAAGAAAAGCTGTAAATAATTCAGGAACTTGTCCTCAGATTTTGGTTCCCTTTGGCATCCTATACACTCCTTACCCTATCCAATTTTAATCCCCTTAATAAAATAACAAAACCAATGCTCAAGGCCTGATTTCTCTCTATGGATGAAAGCTTGTGTGGAAAATGCTAACTGACTGGCTGTGCAGGACTATAGGGGGACCCAAATTCATCAGCAATCCCTAAGGGGGTAGTGCTACATATGTTATGCCCAGATGGCACAGAAAAGCATTGGGGGAATATATTTCAGTGACAGCCAACTTGATTAGATTCTCACTGCCAAATGCTGCTTGTATGACAAAGTGTAAGACAGCTGTCAGGGCAACTTTATGGACACCTCCACAGTTCCTGTGGGAATAAGTGAAGTACTAAGTCAAATTGAAGACAGGTGAATGATGGTGCCGACGTGCTGGTCATGTGGTAGTAATACATGGAAATGGTCTATGGCAGAGATAATGGTGTCCTTTGAGAGCTGGATAGCCACACATATCCACCATTAGTTCAATAATAATTGGGCTATAGACATTGACTGAAGGAAAA